GCCTGCTCCATCAGCCTGCATATCTGTTGAAAGGTAAATCTGCTACTCTGGTGACTCGGTCCCTCTGGTCACTATTCTCCAACCCTCGATTGTCAGCTGAATATTCAGGGAAGATTTTTATGGAAGCGTATTAACCAGACACACACTCTTTGCTTTCCATAATCTTCAAGTGTATTATAAAAAGGATGGCATATTTATACAGTATTGATCATGAACTTTGACATACATTGGTCAAAATATGCTTACAAAAGATAAACGTTGCTAAAAGCGGAAATAGCTCATTTTTGCAGAAGACCACATTTCTTGTGGTCAAGCATGTCTTATTTTCCATGATACTTTTCTCGGAAGCATCAGGTCAACGTTACTTTGCGGATGCGTCTGTTGATTCAAAAGCAGAAGTGATAAATCAAAAATAACCTGTGGTTTGTCTAGTTTTTAGCTCTTGTGTAAATCTTAAGAAAGAGAATATAATATCAGAAATTATAGATGAGAATCATTAACCCCTTCCCTTCATTCCCCTCTTTGAGCAAGACCTTGCTCATACCCCATTTAAGGAGTCTTGGTCAGACAACCAGCCATCTGCCATGGTATATTCAGGATTGCTAGTCAATCCTGCAGGTCTTTCATTATGTCTTTGGCCACTATTCCCATAGCATAGGACTAGTCATCTGACCAGTACCACAAACTTATAGATCTGTATCAGCATGTTCACCATTGCTTCGGTTATGTGTATACATTTGGAGATACTCATCATAGCAAGCTGGGGATTTTACAGGAACAGTGTTGCATGTATGTTTGTAAATGCAGAATACAATAGTCTTAAAAATAGCATAAACAAGTAGAGCAAGGACCAGAACCATAACAATAATTATTGCAAATAGCTGACATGTTAACCAATTTTAAACAGACTAACCAACATGCCATCTGTATCATAAGCCCTAGGTAAATATGGGCAAAGTATATTATTCCCAATAGTTGTTTTCCTCCTTCATCCACGCAAGTGGGCGCATATAGTCAAAGTGGGAATAATACCTATCTCCCGTACAATGACCCGGGTCTAGGATTACCAGTCCACCCGATGATCTTTGGCCAGGCAAAAACCCAGTGGCAAAAACTCGTATTTGAGGAAAAAGAACATTTAGGGAAAACCTGAGTGGGGGCCGCAATCGTGTTAGACATGTCATCCCCTCACAGTTGACACCACTTATGACTTATAATACCCGCACCTGTGAGTACATAGCTTGGGTATTGGGAGGAATTGGGAAACACTTCTTACATATTAATTCATGAGATAAATTATAATCTAGCTTGAAATTCTGACAATAATCACAACCAGGACCTTGCGTCCTATATCTTTTAACCTTTTCGCTATTCCAAAAGTCCAGTCAAAACCAGTCATATCCTCACGCAGTTCCTCAAAACATGGGAATCCATCCTTGGCACACTCAACATATATCAAAAACACACATAGTACAGCTAACTCTGGGTCAGCTAACACTTCCTCTCTCTCTGGCTAACTCTACAAAAATAAAAATAAAAATAGTTCAATAGTTCAGCATAGTTCAGAAAAATAGAATAAGTCTTTCACAGAGTATAAAGAAATCAGTTTAGACACCAGACATTTTGTTCCATAAAATGGCTAAGGGTAGCAATATGGCTGACAACAAGACAATGTCAGCTTCCACATAGTTCTTCTTTTGTTTGCTGGATTTTCACCACAAAGCTCTGTGCAACACCCCAATGGTTGAAAGGGTTATTACAGAACCAGCGGTATTAGACAGCACTGCACCTTCAGGACTTTCCAGGTTCTTGCGTGCAAAGTTTATGTCCTCATAAATAAGTATCTCAGTTTCTTCGGCCTGCATGGATAATGACCAAACAGATGTAATTGCAAAATACTTATTGCATGGTTAGCCAGAGAGATTGGTGTGTAGTCCCAGAAATCAGGCGGCACAAACACTCCAGGACGGTCTCTACAATCATACAAACACAAGGATCAATACAACATTAATTAATTAATTACCTAGGCTAAAACTTAAATTAGAGATTAAGGTTAAACCCTTAATTTGTGTAACATGTACTTCTCTTATATTTGCTTATATTTTATGCAATCTGTCTTCTATGAAGTTTTACATAATACCCCTTTAGAATGCCTTTGTATGGATGAGAGTAGCACTCACTCTATAGAAATCCTTGTTAGGATGAATATTAAAACACTAACATATACATATGGGGATAATTCCCAATAAAACTCTGTTCCTAAACTGGAACCTTGATTTGATATTCAAAATTAATTACTTTAATAATCCCGAAAAATTCAATACTCTTGGATTAACACCTAAAACTATATAAAATATTCCAAACCTGAACCACCTGTGTATTAGGCTGGGGTTGTTGGGTGTGGGTATAGGTTGGAAGCTATGGTTGGTATTGAGGAATCTGTGGGGGTGGGTTTGGGCACTCATTTTTCCAGTGACCCTGCTATCCACAATTAGAACAGTGTGTTCCACCAATGCTGAAGTTGTTACCTCTACAAAAGTTAGACCCTTTGACCAAATCCTCTACCTCTGCCTTTATTCCATATGCAGGATGGGATTACCTAACTCACACCCCCCTCTTTGTGTACCACACAGATATAATATTAATAAGCTTTTAAAGGTTGAATGGATAGTTAAATTTTGTATATAAAGCAAGGTTGTCTAGGGTTATATACATATAGGCATAGCCTTCATATAGGGCTTGCAATACTGACAGTCTATGTCATGAGCGTAATGCAGACATGCGGTTAGGTACTTTTCCATTATTATAATATATTGAAAACACTAAGACCTTGCAAATTTTCAAAATGCATATAGCTTCCTGTACCTGGTGCCGTGCAAGGATGTAGTTGGGACTTATTTCAAATTGAGTATAAAAAGTCTAACCACAAAACTAAATGTTATACGCTTATCAAGAAAACAAGTTTAACCCGTTAGTGCATACTTTGGATAGCCTCTTTGCATAATTTGGCTCCTAGTGAGATTATTATATTATTTATTAATACTCTTCTGGATCTGCAAAATGCTTTCAATTTACCCATACAAATATAATACAGTAGTTTAGGAGATTAAAATTACCTCACTTATAAATTTCAGAAATTGTCTAATCTCTATTAAAAATACCATTTTATTATTACCCCATAATCAATGAGGCATACTAGATGAATCTTACTTTGACACAAACAATGCAATATACTTTAAAAGTAGAGTTAACTCTGAGCTGGACAATACTCCCCTATTAGAACTTCTTTATGAGGGAGAGACATCTTGTCCATTCAATCCTTTTTATCCTTTTTAAAAGAATGACTTTCAGGATTAATCAATTTGCAAATGGAAACGTGGACCCATGATTTGAACAGCAGAAGTTTGCGGGGCCCCTTTCACGTGGGATGTAACAAGCGCTTTTCTTGCTCCAAGAGCGATAGCATACAATTGTTTCATTCAAGCCGGCTGGACAGCATTTCACCTTTTGTAAAAACACTAAATGCTTGCGTTAATGATATGCAAATCACTCTGATAGTTAAACTCCTACACAATGGATAATAAAATACATAAAACACATAACACACCAATTCATTTTCAAACCATATAACTCATACTCAGCATCCAATGTAATATTACATGTCATCTCACAAAACAGACGTAGCAGAAAACACATAATGGATACCCAGCAGATATGCCAATACAGAAAACACATGACATTATTGCACAGTCGTTATTCGGCATGTGCCAACCATACTTTAATAACACGCAGACACAGAAAATTCTGTTGGAGTATAAAGTCCACAGCTTTATTAATTAATATCAATATATAAATTAACAATTTAGGGTCATTGTCAACAGTACTCCTTCGTTAGGCTCTCTTCCTATATCATACCCCCGACAATGACCCTACCAAAACAAACATTAGCATAACCAATAATACATACACGTAACTCAACGGCCTACCAAGAGGCCCCACCTCCATTTGTCTAACTGCAGGGGTGTACCCAGACACCCCTACACCCCTTGGTTCGTAGCCACCGACGGGCTCGAACCTACCTCCATACTTTTGACTTCCGGCCTACTCCAGCCTAGACCTTGGCCTACCAATTTCTTAACCCACCAAAATTCCAGTTTAACCAAGACCTTTTCCCGCCGCTGTGACCAAACGGGAACTACTACTAACTCATAGGGTGGGTGGGAGGGACAATTTACAGGTAAGAAAGGCTCAAGTTAGAATGACTTACCCTAAAATGGCCGCTATTTAACCTTCCCTTCTAACCCACGCCCCCCAGCACAATCACAGGACAGCCTCTTGACCTGAACTTCACCCTGCCTACTCCTGGCTCTGTCAAGGCCCACTCCTCCCTGCGTTGCTCCGTGGTTTCATGACATTATTGCACAGTCGTTATTCGGCATGTGCCAACCATACTTTAATAACACGCAGACACAGAAAATTCTGTTGGAGTATAAAGTCCACAGCTTTATTAATTAATATCAATATATAAATTAACAATTTAGGGTCATTGTCAACAGTACTCCTTCGTTAGGCTCTCTTCCTATATCATACCCCCGACAATGACCCTACCAAAACAAACATTAGCATAACCAATAATACATACACGTAACTCAACGGCCTACCAAGAGGCCCCACCTCCATTTGTCTAACTGCAGGGGTGTACCCAGACACCCCTACACCCCTTGGTTCGTAGCCACCGACGGGCTCGAACCTACCTCCATACTTTTGACTTCCGGCCTACTCCAGCCTAGACCTTGGCCTACCAATTTCTTAACCCACCAAAATTCCAGTTTAACCAAGACCTTTTCCGCCACAGCACTTGCCTTGACCCCTTAAGGACATGTGCGACCCCCACCACACAGAAACAGGGCTTGCGCTATCCCGTCTTGCAAACCTAAATTAAAAAGTTCATAACCAACATCCGATAAGTGCACCCCGTCATCACGAAAGTAACCCGGTAATCTCTCCTCCAACTCCCGATGCCTCACCACCACGCCTCCTAACCTTCGAATGAACACCGCCATGGTTCTGTTCACTTTACCCCGACATCGAGAAACTGCCTTCTCATCCCTGGCGTATCTCCAGCATAAACGAGGTACCATCTCCGACCATACCACTTTCACGCCAGGGACAAGCCCCCTTAGTCTGACAACGTCCTGCTTCATACACTTAACCAGTTCACGTTGGGGGACCAGACCCAAGTCGTTTCCCCCCCCGTGAATTACCACCACGTTCGGCAAGGGCTCCTCCGCTACCTTCCGAAACAATACCGTAATAATGTGCTGCCAGTCAAACCCCCGATAACCGAACCAGAATAACGCCACCCGATCCTCAGGAAAGCCCAGCTGTGTTCCGTGCTTCTAACTGCGGCCCTCCTCCTTGCCCAATGGATATACGAATGGCCAATTATCCACACCGTCCAACCTAAAATAAAACATAACAGTGAAGAAACATCACCAGCACAACCCAAATACCCACAATCAACCACCCCTTCACACCAGCCTATCTGGCCGTACATAAGAGCGAAACCTGAGAGATTCCCATCTCCCAATTTGTCTAATCCGCTCATCCCCTAAACCCAAGCGAGCCGCTTCGGTCGCCGCGCCTATTCGGAATGAATGTGTTCCAAACTGCATGGGCTCCAGACCCAACTTCTGCAATCCCAAACGGAAAACCCGCACAAATTGGAAGCGCGACAGTGCCGTGCCGTCTGCATGTATGAAGAAACAACCGCTCCCTATCGGGCGTAGTTCCAAAAACCCGGCCCCACTTGCCACCGGACACAACCCCGACCCTGGTAAACCAAACAACGTGACCATGGAACCTTTACCAAATACATCCGTCTTTGATTGAATCAGGTGGATCAACACCCTGTCCCTACTAACCGTCACATCTTCCAACCTAAGCCCACCAACCCCTTTCTTGTTGGCACTAAGCAACTCACCAATCCGAAACGCCCCAAAAAAGGCCCACGAAAAAGCCACTGTAAATAACGCCACTTCAAACACAGAAAAACATATCTCAGGTAGTTTGTTCACTAACCCCTGTAACACTGTGAAGGAGACTGGTCTTCTCATATCCTTCGTCTTCTTACCTTTCCTGTATCCCCGAACCGCTTGCCTCACTATAAAATGCTTCGTCACATCCTCCCATCCATTAAACTTAAACAAAAACGCCAACGCTGACATGTACCTATCAACCATTGATGGCGACGCTTGCTTTGCGAACAACCGGCATAGGATCCATAACAGTACGTCCATCCGATTGCTCCCAGGGCCCATCACCCCTACCTGCTGCATCGTGTCTTCCCACACTTGCCAGACCTTAACATAGGAGAACCAAGTTCCAGGCGCCAGAGACTTCTTTATGTACTCCCCAAGCAAGACGTCCCGAGCTCCCACATCTCCGCCGGACAGGCTTGACCCTCTTCTTCCGCCTCCGGCGCCGCCTCCCGAAAACGCTCCCACTGTAGGCGAGACAGCGCATCAGCGACAACATTGGTAAGCCCCGGTATATGCCGAGCGCGAAACATAATATTAAAAGACATGCACAAGAGAACCAATTGCCTCAACAACCGTACCACTGGCCATGAAGAAGCCGATAATCCGTTGATAGCCTGCACCACTGCCATGTTATCCGAATTGAACACCACCCTCTTATTGGCTAACTCCGGACCCCATAACGCCACTGCCACAACAACCGGGAAAAACTCCAAAAAGGCCAAATTCCTAATCAAGGGGCTCGCTTTCCATGCCTCCGGCCACCCCTCCGCGCACCATTTACCCGCTAGGTACGCCCCAAAACCGATGCTGCCCGATGCATCCGTAAACAAACCCACGGCCGTGGAGGTTCCCAACGGCTCCCGAAAAAACACTTTCCCGTTAAACTCCCTCAAAAACCTAGCCCATACCTCCAAGTCCTCTCTCATGTCCACTGACACCCTAATATAATGCGACGGTTTTCTCACCCCGCTTGTCGCCCGCGCCAATCGTCTGCAAAAGACCCTCCCCATAGGGATCACTCGGCACGCAAAATTCAGGCTCCCTATCAACGATTGAAGTTCACGCAAGGTGACCTTCCTCGCCTTACCAACCGTGTCCACTAGCCGCTGAAGGGCATGTAATTTGTCCCCGGGCAACCTGCACTCCCTCCGTACCGAGTCGATCTCCAAACCCAGGAAGCTGAGGCACGTAGTGGGCCCCACCGTTTTGTCCTCTGCTAACGGCACCCCAAATGTGTGCGCCACCCACTGGAAGGTCCTCAACACCTGGCTACAGCGCTCCGTGCGTGGTGGGCCAACGCATAAGAAATCGTCCAGGTAGTGCACCACCGCACCCCCAGCCGATTCCCGTCGTACGACCCACTCCAAAAAGGTGCTAAACCTCTCGAAGTAAGCACACGAGATGGAACAACCCATAGGCAAGCATAAGTCCACAAAATACCCCCCATCGAAATAGCACCCCAATAAGTGATGACAATCCGGGTGTATGGGAAGCAGCCGGAAAGCTGCCTCCACATCCAATTTCGCCATTAGAGCCCCTTGTCCCGCTCTCCTAACCAACTCGACAGCCTTGTCAAATGATGTGTAGGAAACAGAACACAGGGCCTCGTCGATATCATCATTAACCGATGTACCTTGTGGGTGCGATAAATGATGGATCATACG